GGAATATCCTTCCTGTAACTCCCTGCTATTTCTGCTTTTGTATTCAGATGGCCACTTTTATAATAACAAAGAAACAAACTGTAAGAAAGTCAGTTTGTTTGTTTTAGTGCCAAAAATCGAATAGAAATTCTAACCCTACAACTAGAAATAATTACATAAACACTTCAGGACAAAGAAAAGCTGACTGAAATTACTTGAGGACCTTTTCTGAATAATTCGGGCAGCTCTGACAGAAAATTGAGAAAAGAGATAGTTCAGAATAGTTTTTTGTCATAAAACATGCAGTTTATTATCTGTCCTTTGCTTCCAAAGGTCGACATTTATTACATTTTATGTTCTGGTTTTTTTTGCTGTCTCTGTGCTGCTTAAAATAAGTAAATATATAGCTGCCAGAAGGATTTCTAAAACAAATGGGTGCTGACGTTTCTAACAAAAGTCACTTACCATCAGCTCATTGTGCAGGGAGTAATATACTGAGTGTAATACTACACATTTGTGGCAAAGAACTTCTACAGTAGCTGTAAGAATTGTAACAGTGTATAACTGTTTTTGTCCAATTACAGAGCTTTACAACACTGAGGTTACACGTTACATCAGGCTGTAGATACAAACTAGGTTCTTGTTAGTAGGATCTGATGAGGTTTGTTCACAATAAGAAAAGCCAGACTTTCATTTAAGTGCGAGTGAAAAACGTGGCATATAGTGTGCACAGCCATAAGTGGCTGATTAAAAAAAGAAAAAGCAAAGCTGAAGTAAGGATTTCACTGCTCATTTTTCTTGTAGTTAACTTTTCCTTCACCTTAGCAAAAACGTCAAAAAGTACAAAGCACAACAACTGGACTAATGGGCTTCCTTAGTTTCTCTGCATACACCCCCACTCGACCCATCCAGCTCCAGCCAAGCATCCCCAGACTGTGGCAACATGGTTCTTCTAAATGAGTTTAGGCTTTATTAGTCTGTCAGGGAGGGAAAAAAAGAAAGAAAAAAAAAACATTGTTTCCCCCAGTAGCAGGTTGAGATATTATTCATCTATAATTGGTAATAACCCTGTACCCCCACCCTGAGGCGGCTCAATCTCCACTGAGTAATCACTGCCACTGCCTGCTCTGCTGGAAACAGCATTATTAGGTCGATAGCACTGTCTCTACTGCTGCTGTCTGCCAAGGAGGTTTATTATCAGACAATATATGGCTCTGCTCCTGTTGTTCTTTAAAAACCACAAGCTGTGGCTGAACGGATTTATCTCGCACACCGAGCTACCATTAAATATCGCGGCGTCCTGGACACAGGAGGCTCCAAAATAAGCTCCGGCGGGATCATTTAGGCTGAGGCTTTATCAGCTTTTATGACAGCGACACTTGATCAAAACACCGTTCACTTTACAATATTTAAACTGGCACCTCGGCTGATTCCACCAGGTCAAAACAATGTCACACGTTTTCTTCGCATCAACGTTTTAAAAAGCAGCGATTCAGATTCCAACTCTCACACTTCAGTCTATAAAATTACTACTTCTTATTTCACAGAACCAAAGCTGAAGATATTATTTTATTTATTCACTTTTTTAAGCAAAAAGAACAATTCTTGCTAAGATTTCTCTCTAATGATGGTGGAGCGTTTAATTTTCACTCAGTGTGACATGCGTGACATCTCGTTTATTTCAAAATGTGTCAGGTTTATATATTAACTTGTGCTTTTACAATTTTCTGAGAGCAATCCTGGTTTGCACACCAACTTGGTTTGTCCGGCTCAAAATGGGCTCGACACGGTGACTGTGGTCATAGCCAGGATTAGTCTGCACATAACTTCTGTTACCTAACGTAGCACAAAACTGGACATTACATAGATGGATTTAAAAAAAAAAATGCATTAAAGCTTGAGTGACTAAAATCCAACTTGAAATTCACAGTACTTTAAAACACTCCTGGGTTTGTTGTCACTAAATTTTTATATGCAGTAAAAACCCTGCTTAACAGCTCTCTGTCACCTGTCTGCATTAGCTGGCTTTTTATTTTATGCAGAAGAGTCAAACTACTGATCAGAAATCCCCTTTCATGGGAGTGCACACGTCGCCTGATAAAGAAATCCTGGGTGATAAAAACAAACAAACAAACCTTATCACTGATAAGAGACGGGCTATACTGAACTTTCTTTGTAGTAGCCCTACTGATATTTAAGTCACTGAGTATTTTTCTTGGAAAAAAACTGAAACTGATGGTCTAAATCATAGACCATCCATAAAACTGTGCTGCATTTCTGCACAGTACTACTGGAAAACAAGCTGCTTTGATAATAAGTGTTTAGTCTTATGAATGCGAGACTGTTTCTGAAGCTTTAAAACCTGCTGTAAATTCCCAACTTTTGGGAAACTACCCTGAGCCGTTTGGTTCTTCCCAAACAGTAAAAACGTGCGATAATAAGATGATGAGAAAGAGTGATTGCTGAGTGAAACTGAAACAGTGACCTTGCTGCTGCTTAGGGCGGACTAATATTTCATCAGCTAACACTAAGGGCACACCTGCCTCACAGCTATACCCACATCTGCCAACGGTTTTGTGCTTCATCCCTGTGAGGAGGCGTCAGGGGAGGAAAGGAAGAAAAGAGGGAAATGAAAGACCAAAAAAAAAACCAAAAAAAAAACAAAGTCTCGTGTGGGTTTTACTCAGAGACTCTGGTGCGTTTCAGGGAAAGTGTAGGCTGTCTTTGAACAGACAAACCCACAAAAAGAAGGCAATGACACTGTGACAAAGGGAGGGGGGAGGCATAAAAGATAGAACTGCAGTGGTAAACCACCTCCTGAAGTTTGTTTTAGTATGAATACCTCGACTCAAAGTGTGTCAGCTCACAAGCAACTTACACAGGACACATGTCAAAAGCAGCTCTTTTCCCCCTTAAACGAGCCAGTGGAGCACCATTATGAAAGTGACTTATAGAAATGGAAGAGAAGGGGGGACAGAGGGAAGGAAGTGGCATCATGTGCTCAACATCAGGCAGAAGTGAAACCGTGCTGGCAGATGACATCCATTGAACATTTCAGATGAAGTCATTCATATCTCCGAGTCTAGGTTACACTGACACGCAGGCCACTAACCGCAAGCTTCTATCTTCAGCATCTTAACTAATTAGTCTAACTTGTTGCTAAGCAAAATGCCTTTGTGTTTGAGAGTGTGAGCGTGGGGTGCCTGGATCATTTCGACTATGAGATCATGGAGATCATGACATATGTGTTGATAAGACTGCGATGACAACACTGAAAACATCCATTTGCGGTCAGGATGTGAAAATCGGATGAAGCATCAGATTAACCTGTAAGCTCTCCGCTCATCTATCGTCACCATAAACGTCTAACACGTACCGAGTAGCCACTAACACTTGATTACATATTTGGAGAAAAACAGTTGTTAATAGTGATCGCACTTAGACGTTGTATAAGTTTAGGAGACAGTAGTCATTAACTACCGTAATGTCCAAGTGGTCACTGTGTCATTCAGCTATAGATACAAAAACAGTAATGTTTCCATGACTGAGTTTGGCTATAACTGTCAAATAAAATCGGATATTGCGACATTATTGCAGTTTGACAGGGAGCAAGAAGTGAGTGCGGAAAACTTCATAGCACTCAATCAAGAAGCTAATGAGATATTGTGCCACACCACATGGCTACAAACAAAAAACAAAACAAAAAAAGGTGTCATTTTGAGCTCAGACCTACAGGTGCTTTGTCATTGGATCTCTCAGCAGATAGTCAAATAATTGCATTATTAGCATTTAAAAGCAGCAAAGCTCTTACAAATCAGATCCTTGTCAGTCGCTTCCATAACCTGACACCACTTGATAAGGTGGTGAAAGAAATGCATATTTTAACATCTACAGTATAAACAGCAGAGCAATGATCTTTCATGTTGTTTTTTTTGGAAGCTTTTCAGCCACAGGGATGTTGGTTTTTATAGAGTCGACCTGTGACCTGGTGTTATAGAGCACTGGTATAAATATAATCAGCCCCTCTTCTCCCGCTCTATTACATACCATCAAATAGCTGAGACAAAGGGAAAGAGCTGACCTTATCTGTCCTCAAAGTGTGCACGAGCACACACAAACACACGCTGGTACTGTCCGTACCAGTGTGGCTGACTTTAAAACTAACCCGAGGAGGAGGGAGGGGGGGAAACCTGAGCTTTCATCTGCATGCAGCTGCCTCGGTGAAAGACAACTGAAGAAAAAAAAAAAATTGCACAGATAAAATGATCAGAGAGTGGAAGAACGAAAAAGAAAACAAAAAAAACCAAAGGACAGAGCCGATAAACTGACCAGAGCAAAACAAAGGGCTATCTGTAAAAGCCTTGGACTTTATCCTGCCCTGTGATGACAGAACTTCGATCCCCAGGCAGGCAACAGGAGACTCCCAGAACCCTGATTTAGGCTGTTAATCTCCCACTTCGATTCAGCTCATTGAGCAGCGTGATGCTGATCAATTAGAAAACAGCTGCACTAGCTGCTGACCACACAGGCACGCTTGTTTTTACTGCTTTTAAAGACAGATGTTTCTTGAAGCCACGTGTGTTCCAATTTCCATCTTCATCAGATCCTATCTCAAGTCTCTTCTTGGCAGGTTATGGAGCCAGCCACTGTCTCATGTCGACTTGTTAGATTACCGAGACACAAAAAAAAAACGATCCTCTAGAGGTCAAGCCACGCAGGCAGGAAAGCCTCACAACTAGCACAATGGAGCAAATCTGCTCTTGACAGGGAAACGGCACATATGATCAAAAACACCGCTATCACTATAGCAACAAAAGCAGGCGTAGATGGGAAAAGTAAGGGCAGGTTTTAACCTTATTTTCCACCTGACTGCATAGTAAAAGTGGCAGCAAGGAAATTTTCCATGCTGGCGACCTGAGCTTACCTTGCCTGTGTAATTAAAGGCCGCAATGTTAAAGAGCCCTTATATGAAAGAGGCTATACAAGCAAATGGCATGTGCGCTTCTGTGTGTGTGACTCACCCATCCTCCTTGGCTCTGGATCCAGGGCTGAATGTGGTTGTCTAGGTAGACCGTCATCCACTCTACGATCCTGCCCACCAAGGGGCTCATCTCCTTCTCGACGCACTCGACACACAGTGCCCCGCCGAACGCGAAAAGCCCTACGATGCGGCCCCAGTTAACGCCGTCCCGGAACACCTCGTCCATCACGTTCTCGAAGCTTTGGTAGGCCGTGGCCGGCGTGATGTGCAGCTGGCTGTGAAGGTCGCTGAAGGCACGAGCGTATCGCAGCTCGAACTCATTGGCCGTGTCCCGGAGCGCCTCCTTCACTGCGTCGAGGTCCGTCGTTGATGGCGGCTGCTGCTGCCGCCGCTGCGGGGATGCCGGTGGGGTCCCGGGACTGGTGCCATTAAAAGTCCCATTGGCGTGTGTGTCTATTCGCTGTTCCTCATCCAACCCCGCTGCCCCCCCATCAGTCCTGTTCGAAGGCTCGTTGAGTACTATGTGGTTGAGAGGATAGTTTCTCTGGGAGAGTTTATACCTTATGTAGAAAAGCACAAGTTCTCTGTTTTGAGACATTTTGTATTTAAATGTGCTTTTTTTGTTTTCCCCTCCTCTTTGCTCCGGCTCTTCTCTCTGCTGGTCAAGCCTCGCTGTGTTAGAGTGTACACACACTGCGCCAGGCTTTTTCTTTCCTCCCGTTTTCTCTGCTCAGACCGCCATGGTCAGCTGATATCCACGGGACACTTGGGGGGTGAAAACCAAACCTATACAAGGCTGCACAGCTCAGGCCCTGCAGAGACACAACGATGAAAGGTCAAAGTCTGGATTGCTTATATCCAGGATTACGTGTGCGTGCGCGCGTGTGTGTGTGTGAGACCGTGTAAGGAGAGTGGAGAGCGTAGGGACGACTGTGAACCTTCAAATTAAATTTGGACAGGTAGGGTCAAAGTGCGTCTCTCTAATTGGGCTGTTACATATGAAGCAGATGGCGATGATATTAATGAGACGACAGCAGAGAGAATGTGTGTGTACACACACATGTGTGTGTGTGTGTGTGTGCGCGCGTGTGTCAGAGAGAGAAAGAGAGAGACAAAGTTAAAGGAGGTGTGAGGAAGGTGAAGCGAGATCAGAACGACAGTCTGGCTTGAAGCTCCACGTAGACATCCTAATCAGTGACCTCTGACCTCTGAGGGAAGCTTTCACACATCTTGTTTATCCCATCTCCAAGTACTTCGTTATTCTCTCGCTCACACACGTGCCCTGAAATCTTCACACAAAACTGACTCCGTCATATTTCCAGCCTCCTCCTCATTACTGGCATTGGAGGTTGCAGAAAGCATTAACGACGCATGTATATGAGCTTGCATTATGGGCTCTTCTGACAGCTTTAGCATGAACGTGTGGTGACAGTGTTGAACTGCAAAATAAAATGTGGTAATAAAAACTGTATGGGAGATGCCATGCTGCCACTCTCCGCCGGCAGGTTTGTTCTCATCAAGTTAACTTACGTTTATGTTTCAGCGGCTGATTAAAAACAGCCTGAGCGTTGTTAAATATACAAAATGTCATAAACTTCCTCTGAACTCAAATTCTGGGAAACTATTAGCAAACACATGCAGCAATAACCTCAGTAATTTGGTTCTTTTAAGCAGTGATGTATCAAACTGCTCTTACTTAAAACATTCTGCTCAGATAGGTCACGCACAGGTCAAACACATGTTTGGTTACTTTGTCAGCGAAGGAATTTTTAAAACATGTGAACTACCACCGAGGAGAAAGGTCAGCATACCGAACAGGTACGCACCCACAGATCAGCTTCATATTTGAATTGGCCTTGTTGACTCATATCAGTTTACAGATATCAATATCGATACTTATCTTTAGCTGACAAACCTTAAAACATGCGTTTTGTTGTTGTTGTTGTTTTTTTTATGTTAACGTTAAGTTTAAAAATTAAGATAAATTAATTTGTGTTTCTGGAACAAAATGCAAACAAAAAGTTACAATAATAATAACAAAATATTTGTATTAGCTATCAGCCAAAATTTTATTTCAAACATTAGTATCAGCCATATTAAAGAGTAACAGCCCCCCCAAAAAAAGAAAAAAGAAGAAGCAGCTTTGATTAGAAATATATCCAAGTTAGGAGGAAATGAACAGCCGTTTCTATCAAATCTTCTCCAGTTAACATTTTAGGCAAAACCGATTTCCAGCAACAATAATGTGGGGAATGAATGTTTTATTATTCACATGTATAACAGAAATTTGAACATATCTGGAGTTGTTCCAAATAAAAACATTTGGGTTGTGGAAAATACAGTCTGGCAAGGATATATCAGCTTTTTTTGTCAGGTTACATTAACAGAAATAAATAAATAAATCACAATTCATATGTGAACAAGAAAGTCCGTGGAGAAAAGCTCCTGCAGCCTCAGTTATTACTTTCACATCCCTGACAGCAGCCTAATAACATTAGCGATGTTCAGTAATACAAACTGCTTTATTAATTATTTCCGTTCCCGTCCTGAAGCCTCTAAATTGAGTTTAGGTCCCTGAAACAAAGACTCTGAGAGCAGTTGACTGGTCAGCCCCTTCTGTATTCTGCTGTCACCGTACCACACTCACTGGTACACACAAAAAGACGTGGAAGGGACGTGACCCGCCGGTGATCCCAAACTGTCTGCTTATCGTGACGGAGTCTGACCTTTCCTGTAGCAATACTGACATTTACGTTGATACGTGGCGGAACCTAATAATCAGGGTGGCCGACCGCTGGGAAGGAGTTCCATGCAAATAGCGCTGGTGTCATTACATAATACAATATACTCCTAACAGCACAATAGAAGCACGATACAGTGTCAGCTGGCAGAAACTGCCCCCCCCCCCACACACACACACATACACAAAAAAACTCACTGAAATACACCCAGCTGACTACTTAGTCCGCATTTGGGTGGTAAAAGTAACAGAAGATCGGAAGAGCGGTTCAGCAGGAATGCCGAGACCCTCTTCCGATCTACTCACTGAAATACACCCAGCTGACTACTTAGTCCGCATTTGGGTGGTAAAAGTAACAGAAAGAGCCTGTTACAGCACATAAAGACCCACAAGGCAGCAGTGTTTACAATGGCCACATGGTCCCCAGCTACCTACACGTGGCTCGGGTTTTAATGGGCCAGCACTGATGTAAACACCACACAGCTCCTCAAGGAATACCAGCGAGTCGTGACCAAATGTAGCGCCCGAACGCGACATTAACTCAAACATTAACTTGTTTCAATTAAACTGCTGATGTTTTTACGGTGGAATTTAAACTGTCCTTTTACACATTAACCAGTCAGAGCAGTGTTGAAACATGCTACTCCCTCTGGTGGCGCACTTAAAGCTTGTGTCAATTCCCCCACCGTCAGGATATTGATTATTATTTACATTTTTATTATTAAGTGGCGTTTTAACACCGTCAAAGATGTAAATATAATAATTAAAGATCATTCCCGAGCGTCTTACCAGCAACTCTTGATATCAAACCCGGGGGGAGTGCTCTTCTCCGTACACGGATCCTCTCGGTGAAAACGTCCCGAATCAGTCAGACAAGCCCGTCTGTCGCTTTACGTATACAAAAGCTGTCAGAACACAAGATAGGTACTTTGTGCTCAGGACTGTATTTGCACGTATCCTCCTACGTCCCCCTCCTCTCTTTGCATGGACAGCCCTCCCCCGATTGCGTAACACCGACGCTTTTATGGATGCCTGTTCACGATCGTGTCGAAAATTCTCGTACGTGCACGACTTAAAAACAGTACACGTATGCTATTACTCGCTCCAGTAACCTCTTAGAGATAACCCAGGCGTTAGATATTTTAAATGTTAACAGCTAACAACACGTTAGAAAGATCGATGCAATTTATTACATTTTTCAATTCGATTCAATTGAAAGGGACGTTTCTTTGCACTGTCACTAGTTGTTCATGTATCTGCCTTAACGCGTTTAGCACAATAAATTACATATAAATAACAAACCTGAAGTACCGGTTTTCACCGTAGTTTAAATAAACTCCACTCTATCTCTGTATTCCGCATACATTTTGATGTTTCTAATGAAAACTGTAGGGGATCCCGTGAACGCAACACAATTCCATTCCAAGACCTTTAATCGCGTCTCGTTAGAAAAATGCCACTTTGCGACAACACCCTGCTTTAAATAGACGACACCACCCCCGCAATTAGCATTGCAACACTAAAATTCCTAAGTAAGCCATTATGACAGAGACTGCTCCGCCTGTACTAACGCGGCTGTAGCCAGCTTGTGAACATGGCTGTCACTGTCATATACATGTAGTCGCACATTCGCAGACTGCAAGATCGAAAAACATATATTTTCCGAGGCAAACCCTTTTACTACAATGAACACGTATAGTTTGCACAAAGCAGAATTACATTTGACCCCGAAAGCTTTGTGGAGGGAACGAAAGTATCGCTGCGCGTTTTTTCACTAATCTGTCGACCTCTTTCCTCTCGCAGGATTCAGATAGGAAAATCCACCCTCTGCCATTCCTCCTCACGTTATTTCACCGACGCCATCAGCAGAGGGATCAGAATTACACTTGTACATCGAGCAGGAACTCTTACTTGTAGGGTGGTCTTCATAAAATCATGTCTGGTGGCTCAGAATCCAAACCCCGGCTGGATCAACCCTATCCGTCATTGCTGGCCCGTCTTGCGGAGGAGGTCCAGCTCAGCTACTGGTTACCGCAGATCCGCCCACAGCTACGCTTTCTACGTAACCGGTGCCAGTCAAGCCTCACTACAACTAGCGGGATCATTGCTTTTTTCTAACGTCAACACTCCGCCACAAATGCATTAACTGAGCCGTGCCAGTGTCGCTGAGATTTTCGAGTTGCTTCCCAGCGTGAACTACGAGCTAGCCAAGGCTAGCTTGTAGGAAGCATCAGCTAACGCTAGCCGGCTAATATTAGCGCTAACTTGCTAAAACTGCGCCAGTTGTATTGCTGAAGCGTCACATCTGACACACAGACATAAATTATTTAAGTCGACTATTTATGGCAACTATCACACATTTCATTGTTTACATATTAACTTTAAGGTTCATTTCTTTTTACTTTGTTTTTTGTTTTTCATAAAAGGGCCCATGTAGCAGCTGTTTGGCATCTTTACACTTTAGATAACAAAAGACGTGAGAGGTCTCCATAGTAACCTTTGTTACCCCAAAGCCTAGCAGGCTTCAAGGTGACTACCAGTTTGATTGCAGTGCCACCCTGTGGACATCTTGATATACCCACACACTTCTACGTTTTAAAACATTTAGTGTTTAAATTGGCTTTATTTGGTCATATCATAAAAAGCACGTGCAATAACAACAAATTTAATGACGACTCCATTCCACACCGCATTACCAGCTTCCCTTACCATTAGAACTGGAGGTCAGCAAACTCAGCGCTTAATGTTAGGTGGTACCACCTGTGTTGGTCACCCTCTAAACAGCTTTAAAACTGCAGCAACAGACACTGGAGTAGATCAGAACTCAGGTTTATTGATTACGTCACCAAATGCTTAGAAGATTACATCACAATATTATGTATAGAACCGTAGATCACTTTCATTTCTATGTATCTTACATTGAAAACTTTACAGTCTGTATTTTTTTTTTCATTTACTGTATATATTTATATATATTTATATATTCCCTAGATTTAGGGAAGTAGACATCCATAGTTGCGAGGGAAGGAATGCTTTTCAAAAAATATTTAAATGCACTTTAAATAATTACATACATCCTTCTTTTAAAAAACAAGGCATGGAACAAACTCGAAATGATCCAGGATGCAGAGATGCTGGAGCCTCTGTGGATGCAAGTTTTGGTTTTGCTCTGTCAAACTAATGTGGAAAAGGGTCAACACTAAAGGGAGTTCTAGGCATCCAGTGCAAGTCGTTACACTGTGTCATGTTAATACCTGAACACACTGTAAAAAATAAAGATATGGACAACTCTAGTATTCTAGTCCAACTGATGGATGTGTGGAGGTTTTATGAGTCCACTGTAAAGCCAGGAGAAGTCGACCCCAGTGTAAGGCTGACTGGGTCAACACACGAGGGAATGCACAGCAGAGGGAAGCAGCCAGTATATCAACCACCCGTACACTGTAAACCAGCAATTATCCAAACAATAACTAAAGAAAGTGAGCCAAATAAATATGTAAAATCTCATTGATAGGCAAGAGGTGACAAACGTGACGGGATGGCCGTGTCACACAGATCTCCCAATTAAAGATCGCTGATAGTGTTATAAGAGGCGCAGATGGGTTTTTCCTGCAGTTGTGAGGTTCAGCCTTTTCAACAACCTCCTTGATATTAACACAGATATGAGAGTTCAATAATGCTTCAGGGTTGACATTAACACAAGGAACTTATTTTGATTAGATCACCTTTTTTTCTTTTCCCCAAACAGGCACAGGTGGCCAGATTTCATCTTTTACTAGAACAAATGCAAGGAAATCAAATTCAATGAGATTTTTCATTTCCTTTCAGCATATAGACATTTTTCTTTTTGTTTTAAAGTATTTAAAAAATTAGGCAGGAAAAAAAAACGCTCAAAATCTGTGAAAGGGTTTGCAATAATATCAATAAATTATTTGTTTACAGTTTTTTCGAGATGAGAGTCAGGGGGATGATAAATGACTACAGTCAGCAGAGAGTGCCGGTCACAGTGCTGTTCATTTCCGAGATAAAGAGGACGGCCAGGGGTCCGGGCGAAGGCGTTTCTGGCTGCCGAGCGCAGCCGAAAACAGGAACACTCAATGCAGAGTCCCAGCAGGAAAGCTTGTCTTTATCAGCCATCTGTGATCCGATCCAATCAGAGGTATAGTGTCTCTCGGGAGCTGTGTCCACCTTCTCACCAGCACTCGCCGTTTCCCTGTTCACCTGCCTTCTTAGGATGCGGGAGTCCGGGCCGGCGCGCCCTCTGGATGAGCAGCAGCGATGTGGAAGACGGAGCCGATGCGCAGGAAGAAGCGCCTGAGGACGGCCCGCAGCTCAGGGATCAGGTCAAACTGCATCATCTCACACAGGTGGGGGTAGTAGCAGGAAGCGTGAGGCTTGAACTGGAACAAACAGGAGAACATTTAACTAAAGACTAAATGACCAAAAAAAAAACCAGTGTATTTGGAAAAATATACAAAAGGAGAGGTGGTTGCTGACCACTACGTTCACAGCAGGCTGTTTAATTAATATGTCGACAGTGATGCATGTTTGTTCCTGGTTTTTTCCTGCCTTTAACAACAATTTCACGGAATTATGAAACTTTCCCAAAACGCAAAGTAGGGATTGCATAAGAAAGCGGTGCCGGCCAATCCACTGTAACAATACTGGTCTAGTTTTTGTTGATGCAGTGGTTTGTTGGCTGGCTGCACGGCGCCAACATTTCCTACTACTTGTGGCTGCACGGTTCTGGTTTTGGTCTAAAATGACCTGGAAAGGCACCTCAAGTCATGCGCTGCCATGAATCGTTGTGCACATTCTCTAAATACATAATTCATATGTACTCACAAAAATGACATGAATTCAAAAAGATTGAACTAATAACATATTTTTGCTTTTATTGTTATTCAATTCAGTGGGGAGGACGCAGCGCGAGTTGGAGTGTAGCACAGGTAAAGCTTTACTGAACAAATACTTTATCTAACACTAAACTACTACTAATACACTTTCCCCAAGTTGTTACTATTGTGTATTTGGAGGTGTACTGTGTGTGTGTGTGTGTGTGTGTGTGTGTGTGTGTGTGTGTGTGTGTGTGCGCGCGCTCCTGCCTTGTCATCGGGCAGCCGCAGAGTCCTGGTGAGCAGCAGCATCAGCAGGCTGTTCCAAGCCTCTCTGTGGCTCTCTGAGGTCAGACTGATGAAGTAGCCCAGAGCTTCATTACACACCCTGAGAGAGATGACACAACACAGACGCACATAGACGATTATGACAAACACAAAGCTGTCGGTATCAGCGTTGCTACACGAAACTGATTATCAATCCGCATCATCTTTATCGATATCATGATGATAAACGTCTCACATGTGTGTTCTTGATGCAATACATGAGTCATCTCTTACAGCGACAAACACGATGAGGTGATATGTGCCCGGCTTTAGCGTGCCAATATATTACACGAAATGCGCACGCAGAGTACATTCATAAATTTATAATGAGGTATGAGCTGTGTGTCAAAACACAGGAACAAACAGCAGCGCTGCCCTTTCTGCCAGTGACACACTCGGTGCTTATTTATCCAAGGTTTAACATTTAACCGGTGATGACACACAGGAAACACTGTGAGAAAGTGCAGGAGAGTGCTTCACTCACAGCAGCAGGCGTGTCTGGATGTCAGGCCACGAGTCCTGCAGCTGAGGGTCCGAGTACATCCTGAACAAGATCCTGAGGCTGCAGGCCAGACTGCTGGTCTCCTGCTTCAGTAAGTTGGGCTTAGATTTCCCTTTAAACCCTGAAAGGTCACCAGAGAGATGACAGCTGTTAAAGCAGTAACAGAGGCTTGTAGTTAAGACGTGCTCACTGCATATCACGGTTTCCTCCACACTGCCTTTCCTTTCTGTATATCTATTGTTTATCAAAAAAAACAAAGGAAGTGAAAATAACACTGGGCTGGATATAACATTACTCTTCCCATAATTTACTGCTAGTTCTCTATTTAATGTAAAGCTATAAACAAAGAACCTTCTGAACTCTAACGTGCACAGGACAGAGAATCCTGGGGGCTTTCCCTTGGTTTTTACCTGCCCTCCAGAGTGCCGTCCTCTGTTCGTTATTGGAGTTGAAGTCCTTAGCAAAGGTGTGTGACTCCAGCAGGCAGTCCAGCAGCTTGAAGAGGTGTGCGGACGTCATGTGTCTGTACATGCCCTGATCTGGACCCGACTCAGCCTCCGACTCCTCCAGAGCATCCCGCTGGCAGGAGGAAAAGACTTTAGCATATATGATTTTATAATAGTT